TGCTGTTCTCTTGAAACATCCCACCCTCGCCTTCTCCCAGAGTCCACAAGTCTGTTCTATTCATCTGAGTCTCTTTTTCTGTTTTGGAAAGCATATTTTTAATGCATGTTTCCAGTCCTCACACCCTGAAAGTTTGGGACCCCTAAAATTTGTATTTTAAAACCCACAACCTTCAAGCAGTGTCATAGGGAATACTGAGTTTAAAAAACAAAACAAAAAAACCCAAACCTGTGTAACTTCTGACCTCAGAAAGCTTATATGTACATATGGGAGGTGAAGTGACTTTATAAGTAACTCAGAGAAAGAAGGAACGGATTATTTTGCAGCTGGGGGAATAGGAAAGGCATAATAGAGGAAAATGGCAAATTAATTTAGCCTTAAAAGATGTGTTGGATTTGGACCTTTGGCAGTGTTGGAGAAAGATCTTTTTGGCAGTGGAAATAATAAAAGGAAGAATACTCAGAAGTTGTTTAGTTTCATTAAAGATACCTGAATATTCCAAATCAACATTACAAAGATAGTTGGGGCCACACATTGAAAGGTCTTATAAATTCTTTGTTTCTGAGTTTGCATTTCATGTTGTTGGCAGCAGAGACTATTGGAGAATTTGGACAGGCTCATGATGTGACCAGAGCTATCGTTTACATGAACCATCTGGTGGCAGAGCATAGGATGTGCTGGAAAGGAGAAAGAAGGCAGAGAGAACCATGTGAAGGCTACCACAATAGATCGTAAGGAGAGCAATCAGAGTTTGAGATTTGGGATAATGAGCATGCAAAATAGTGGCGAAGAGAAGCAGATTGGAGAGAGGGTGCAGAAATAGAACCAGTGAGTGATTAAATGTGGGGATGCAAAAGAGAGGGAGGAAAGATAACTGTAAAGATTCTAACCTGAGTAACTGTGAAGATACCTAGGAGGCCTTTGGGAACAGAGGACAGAAGAAGGGGAGAGAAATTATACCTTGAGATATATATATTTGGAGTGCTAGTTGAAGCCTTAAAAGTGGATAAAATTGCCATAGGGAAGGAGGTCTAGCAGGGAAGAAGAAAGAAGGATACAGACAGTATTTAGGAGGCAGAACGGGGAAAGGAGCTAGAAGGAAGTAATCAGAAGGTGGGCTTCCCTCACAGCTCAGTTGGTAAAGAATCCACCTGCAATGCAGGAGACCCCGGTTCAGTTCCTGGGTTGGGAAGATCAGCTGGAGAAGGGACAGGCTACTCACTCCAGTGTTCTTGGGCTTCCTTTATGGCTCAGCTGGTAAAGAATCTGCCCGCTATACGGGAGACCTGGGTTCAATCCCTGGGTTGGGGAGATCTCCTGGAGAAGAGAAAGTCTACCCACTCCAGTATTTTGGCCTGGAGTATTCTGGCCATACAGAATCTGGCCTGTATGGTCCATGCGATCACAAAGAGTCAGACACGACTGAGCGACTTTCACATCCACTCACAGAAGGTGAGGAAAGAAGTTTCAGTTTCACTGAAGAAGTAGGAATACAGAAGAAGAAGGAATGGTGGTCAGCAGTATCAAGGGCTGCAGAGAAGTTGGGGAGAATGGCACACAAAAAAAAACCACTGGATTTAAGAATCATGAGTTTATTGGAGATCTTTAGGGGAGCAGATTCAGTGAATTAAGAAGACAGAATCCAGATTACAGGCAATTTTATATCAGTTTTGAGATTGTAGAGACATAAGCACAGGTTACTTTTGTATTAAATCTATCTAGAAAGGGAATGTTGAGAGAGTTTAAGTGTGATGGAATGAGAGGCTAAACTAAATTTCGAAGAGAATAGAAAAGAGGAGTTGGCGTCTAGAGATCTCAAGAACATAGAATCTATAGGTCTTGGAGACTGACTTGATGTGGAGATTGGATGGAAAAGTCGTCTGATTTCAAGATTTGGAGAATGGAAGAAGGAAGATGCCATGTGTGACTCTGAGACGTCATAGGGACTACACTGGTGATCCAGTGGTTAAGACTCCGAGCTCCCAATAAATGCAGGATGCCCAGGTTCGATCCCTGGTCGGGGAACTAAGATCCTGAATGCTGCAGGTACAGATGGGAAAAAAAGACATCAAACATTAGAAGCAGTTTGGGGTTCAAAGTGGTAAGTTCGATTTTAGTGTGTGCATGTGTTAAGTCACTTCATTTGTGTTTGACTCCTTGTGACCCTATGAACTGGGGCCTACCAGGCTTATTTGTCCATGGGATTCTCCAGGCAAGAATACTGGAGTGGGTTGCCATGCCCTCCTCCAGGGCATCTTCCCAATCCAGGGATCAAACCTGCATCTCTTACGTCTCCTGCGTTGGCAGGTGGGTTATTTACCACTAGATATATTTATTAATGTTTTCAAGGGACACTAAGTAGAATGTCCCTTCCACTCCCTTTCCTCTGCTCCTACAAATTTTCCTCCCAAGGAATGGAATGAATCTCTTAGTCCTTAGAGCAGACCAGTTTCTCTTCTGGTAGTTTTGGTGGACTATATTTGGAGACTAGGTGCTAAGCCCAACAATCTCTCAGGAATCCCTTTTGTGTCTTATATACTAATGTATTCTAGTATTCAGCTTTGTTTATCTTCACACGGTAAACCATAATGAATTGTTGATCCTCAGTAACCATGCAGAGAGGCCATTCAGATCTTTTATCTAAAACTGGTAAGACCACAAGAGCAAATCAGGAACTCTCTTGGTCCAGTAAGTCCAAGGGACTTCCTCAATTTCCTGTTCATGTGCTTGGATTTGTTCCCTTAGAGCCCTGAGTCTCAAATACTGTCTTCCTTGTTCTACAGCTAAGTCCTCAAGAACAAAAGCCAAGGATTTGTTTTGAGCTAGGTCGGTGTAGTGCTGAGTTCTAGGTCAAGCCCATTAAAGCCAAAATCCTGAGAAAAGGAGCAACCTTCTTATGTCTTGTGTTTTCAGAAAGACTCAAAACATTGATCTTACCAGATTTTAATTATCATGGACCACAGAACAGCCTGAGTCTGTTCATATTAACATTTTATAACCCAGATGAAAAGGATCCACTTCTGCTGGCCTTTTCTATGTGCTGTTTTTGGTTTTCAGTAGCTGAAGTTTTCCGTTGAGGTTGTTTTAAACGCCTACATGCAAACTGAAGAGCACTCAAGCTTTGGTGGGATATCACCCGCAGCTGGAGTGATGGAGGAAAGAGGAGGGTACAAGCTTCAGGTGCATCCTTCTCTTTAAAAAAAAGAATTTAAAAAGCAAAAACCACTTAAGGAAACAAATTCCATCTGAAAACAGGCAAGATGTGTCCAAGGAAGGGGATGAATCTCTCTCCATGTAGGAAATAGATATCAATTCATATACAATCCAGATGCATAGGACGGGCCACTTTGAAACACACTGGATGTTTCCTGCAGCCCTCCATCTCTTCTAATCAAAGAGTAAAAGGTTATGAACCATGAACCGTGGTGAGAAGCAGGGGAACACTACTGCAGCAATGGCTCCTCTGTTGGTGGTTAGGCCCTGTCTTGCTCTATTAAGCAAACACAGTTAATATAGATGAAAGGTAACCTTGATAGAAGTGAAAATTGAAACTTGAGTAGAAGGTAGCAAGCCAGGCACAGCTGCAGTTATACTTCCTCCTATGTGGCAACAGGAGCTGCACTTACTGGTGTTGTTTGGAAGGGATGTCATTTTTTTTAATATCTTTTCTTCAAAGTGTTTTGGTCTTTAACATCTACACCACTAACAAGGGAGTGTGGAATATGATATAAGGAGCAAATTAGACTCTTATGTGTCAGAGTGCAAGGGCAAATCCAAGTTCATTGTTCTAATTCCAGTTCATCTGCTATTAACTGGCTGTGTAACTGTGGGCTAGTCCCCAAAACATCTCTGTTCCTGGATTTCCTCATCTGAAGGACAAGGGTTGGATCAGATGATCTCTAAATTCTCTTCCAGCCCTGAAATCCCATTGACTTACGATTCCCATGGAGTATTACAATTTCCAGTTTTTAAGAATGAATTTTTTTAAAAGTGAGCATTTATGCAGCATGTTTTATATATGAAAAATCCCTTATAAATATTTATTTTTATTACATCAGGCAAATATTTTAGGTTTTCTTAGTACCAGTACATAAATTTTTGCATTCTTCATTTCTTATGTTCTTCAGCTTAAGAGTGTTGCAACTCTTATTGAAATAGTACCTGATCAGCCAACTTACTTGGGCCAGCCACACCCCTCCTATCCAGTGCTTTATTCTAGGGCTTCGAGTTTAGCCCTCCCTAACTTGGGTATTGGTTATTGGTGCTGTTCCCCTTGCTTAGGTTGAGCTTCATTTACCTGTGTCAATGAAAGTGACTCCTTAGAAGCTATGTTAAAGGATTACTTCTCCTTTTATCTTTCTCAACAGTATTTCACTAGTACTGCCAGCTTCCTCTACGTTCAGCGTTGCCTCTTTATCAGTTCCAAGAGAGAGAGAGATAAGACTCATTTTAGCAGTTTGTATACAAGGAAGGGGAAGAGGCAAAGCATGGCTTAAAATCAGGAAAAAAAAAACTTGTTAATTATTCAACTCTCAGTCTTAGTGGCTTAAATTAGATGCAATTGAAGAATTAAATTAGTATTTTCTTCTTGAAACCAAAGAACACATCACCTTGCAGCCACCAAAAAAGGTAATAAATCTGAGAACCTTTCTTTTCCCCCGGTACTGGAGAAAAATTGCTCAAAATGTTTTTTTCATAGTTGCTCTGAGAAATCATAGCTAAAATCTGTTAACTCTAATTTTCTGAATGGCCTAAAATGCTGTCATCTATTTTGTATGTGTTTGTGTGTGTGTACACGTGTGTCTTGTGTTTTCCCCTGACCGTGGCTCTGAATTCAAATAATCAGTGATCATCCTAATGCCGTTTTCTTGTTTTGTAGATGTACAATATTTTTAGCTTCATTTGGTATTTAATTGTCAGTTGTGGGTCTCTGTTCTTTCAGCTGCTTTGATAGCTGCAAAAACAATCATTGTTCATTTCTTGCATTTTCCTCCCTGCAGATGATTCAATGAAAGTGAAAGATGAATACAGTGAAAGGGATGAGAATGTTTTAAAGCCAGAGCCCATGGGAAATGCAGAAGAGCCTGAAATTCCTTACAGCTATTCAAGAGAATATAATGAATATGAAAACATTAAGTTGGAGAGACACGTTGTCTCATATGATAGTAGCAGGCCAGCCAGTGGCAAGATGAACTGTGATGTGTGTGGATTATCCTGCATTAGCTTCAATGTCTTAATGGTTCATAAGCGGAGCCATACTGGTAAATAGTCTGTTCTACCCATTGTTCTGAAAACTGTCCTAATTCAGCCACATAAGAAAAGAAGTGGTGTAATTTAGAACTTAACTTTTGATTACTTTTCATTGATTTTTTATATGATTCTGATGTCTCTTTCCCTCTCTGCATTTCCATTTACCTAGTGATTTTTATTTCTGCTTCACCATGCATTTGACAAGCATATCACAAATGCTATGAATAAGACTGTAGAGATCAGGGCGTTCTAGGTCAGCCAAGTAGTTTTCTTCAGTAACAAGTGGGAGTTAAATTGTGTGATATGCTTTTTAAGCATCTTGCATATATTTTGCATAACTTTTAAAACAGCAGATCTCCTTATTGTATTGGGTTCAAATTTGGTAGATGAAAGGATTCAATTTTTATTAACAGTTTAAAAAATTTATTTTCAGACAACAAAAAGGCAGTCTATAGAGATGCATGCAAACTTAACACTCCCGCCAAGCCCAATAGATTTCATCTAACATAGGATATGGAGACTTTAAAAAGCATTTCTTCAATTAAAAAAAAAAAGCATTTCTGGCTCTCTATACCTTATTAGGACTTCAGTCTGTGACTCTTTTTATAGATTGAGATTATTTAAAAGGAATGCTAAGTAATGCAAAAACTTAAGTCTAGAAAGCACTTCTAAAGCTATTCATTTTTTTTGCTCTGATCCAAGGCAAGGTGATACCTAGCCTTGCCAGATGAGTGTTTTTTCTCTTCTAGAAGGAAGATTCCTTAAGTCAGTCCTAGGCTTCCCTTGAAATACAGCTTCCATCTGATCCCAAAATGAACAGAAACTATCTTAAACATGAGCTTTTGCCATAGGCATCGAATCTGTGCATATGCTTCGCCAATTGCCGGGTGACCAGAAATCTCCTTTTTGTCCTTTTTAAAGGTGAACGCCCATTCCAGTGTAATCAGTGTGGGGCATCTTTTACTCAGAAAGGTAACCTCCTCCGCCACATTAAACTGCACACAGGGGAAAAACCTTTTAAGTGTCACCTCTGCAACTACGCATGCCAGAGAAGAGATGCACTCACAGGTCATCTTAGGACACATTCTGGTAAGTGAGAGCAATGAGCATTCCATATCTAGTAAATATGTGTTTCTCCGTGCCCATTGAGGAAACTAGAAAGAGTTAAGTATGGAGGCTTTAATCTGTCACTCCGGTTCTGAAGGGTTACAACAGCAGAGACCTCTAGGGCTAATTACACTTCCATTAAGACATTAATTGCTCTCCGTCTGGCTCAATGGGGATGATCATCTCCTTACCATCTTTGCACCCCTAGAGAACAGAGTCAGACAGGAGAAGCCTGCACTGTAAAAATGCTTTTTTAATTTTTGCAAAAACATTATAGCCTTCAGTATTTTTATGGCAAACTTTATTAAAAGATTATTTTTCTAAAAATATACACACACACTATTCATTCAAAAGTCTGGATAAAGTAAATGATGTGCAGTTTGTAAGTTGTATAAAACTGTAAACTGGGTATGAATCTCTGTTGAGGGTAAATTTTGGCTAATCTGGGCTTATTTGGGGAGTTTGGGCCATTCTGGCCTAGATTTTCTTTTTTTTTTTTTTTTCATAGATATAATTAAAAATATAACATTATATTAGTTTTAGGTATATATGAGCTAAATTTCTTAAACCTAACTTTCTTCTTGATCACCCAATTTATTTTTAATCTCTAAAAGATGAGCCACAATAAGAATTCATAAAAAGCTATGTTCTCTCTTGATGTTTTCACTCCTTATTTTAACCACATTAAACTAACATTTAGAATTTCCCTCCTAGAAAAATAAAACTGGGTTTATTTTCAAATTTGGGACCTCATGTTCTTGATGTTATCTGACAAAATTTTAATTGAAGGGAAAAAAAAGGGCTTGTTTTTATGTTAATCCACATTCTGCTTTGACTAAAACCCAGCCCTAAACCCGCAACTGGTCACAATTCAGAGACTAAGGATTAAACAAATCAGCCCCAAGAAAACCCACTGTGAGAGATGGTAAAGGGTAAAAGAAGGGTTTCTTTTACAGCTCATTGTTCAAAGTAATGAGTTAAGGCTGAGTTTGGTCCCAAAAATTAGAGTAGTTCTTTTCTATTGCTTTTTCCAGGTAAGATCCAACAATGGCAGTTATTTTTAAGATTCTAGAGGACCTCACTTTATGTAGAAACTTAACATTCCTGGCCCCAGAAAACCTGCATTTATTTTAATTTGTGATTCCATAAGGATCTTTTAGTGCTTTAAGCCCAAAGGCTCTATTTTAAACAGAGCAAGAGGACTTGAAAATAAAAAAAAAATCTCAGTCCCTAAAATTCTGAAAAATTTCTGGTGTACATTTTATTGGCAAGTCAGAAAGGTGAGCCCTGCACACAGAGTTGAAGTTATTATTTATAACAGTAAGGCATTTGGAGGAGTTAGAAGATTAAAGGTGGCCTGTACTATGTGGATGAACTTTTGAGGAAATTTTTGCTTTGTCTTATAAATTAAGATGAAGTCATTTTTTAAAATTCCTTCTTATTTCTATTATTCAAAACGATCCTCAGTTGGTTAGGTCAGTTTTTATTAATTGAGCCCAGACTTTGCTATAGCCACAAGCTACATTTATTGAAATAGGTCAGTGCTCTAAAAAGACTTTTAGTGGCTAATACCCACAAACTGCAGCATTCTTTACTTACAGCCAGCTTGATGTCACAGAATACAGGATCTCTTCCTACTTCATTCTTAAACCACACGAATCTCCTTGAAAAATAAAATGTTCCTTTTTGTGTTTTTTTCCTGAAGAAGCAAGATTGGATTTGGAGCCAAAACACTGTGCTCCAGGATAGTCATTAAGTCTAAATCCTTTCATTTGTGGAAGGAACCTATCCTTTCAAAGAGTACATGAGAATCAATCATAGGCTATAACCTTGTTTCAGTTTACTGAATTTAAAAGTAATGTAGATGCACAAGTATCCAAGTTCTCTGCCTTCTCTCAGCAGTCTCCTTCCTAGGGGACAGTTTTCACAAGGGCCCCAATACACCGTTTGTTCTATAACCCTTGAGGGTCACTGAGTGCCCCTTGTGCTCTCCTTATAGTTGAGAAACCTTATAAATGTGAGTTTTGCGGAAGGAGTTACAAGCAGAGAAGTTCCCTTGAGGAGCACAAGGAGCGCTGCCGTACATTTCTTCAGAGCACTGACCTGGGTGAGACTGGTGAGTTCATGCAACACCTGTTCTGGACATATTTAGTGAGCACCTGCTGTTCTAGGTGTTAGGTTGCAATAGTAAACAAAATACAAAAAAACCTGCCCATGTGGAGTTTATATTCTCATTGGGAAAAACAGACTAGAAACAAAACGAAAAATTAACATACAGTTTTGTTTGATGTTTTGTAAGGTGGTAATTGCTATTGAGAAAAATAAAGCAGGTACTGGGGGCTGAAGGTGAGTTAGGAGAACCATCAGCCAGCTGACCTTTTAACAGACTTAAAAGCATGAGGAGAGAGCCCTGCAGATCACTAGGAAAAAGCAAGTGCAAAGGCCCTGGGGCTTGAATTCAAAGAAGTGTAAGTAATCCTGTGTGGCTGGAAAAAAGTGAATAATGGGACGTGAGGCCAGAGAGGAAATAGGAAACCAGATCTTACCAGGCCTTGTAGGCCATTGTAAAGATGTTGGCTTTTACTCTAAGTGAAATTAAAAATCTTCAGAAGGTTTTGAACAGAGAGGTGACATGATTGGACTTCTCATTTGAAAAAAAATCACTCTACTTGCTACTGAGAATAGGTTGTATTGGGAGCAAGATTAGAAACTGGGGAGTGCAGTTAGGAGGCCATTGCAATAATTCAAGCAAAAGAAAATTGTCTTGGCAATTGTAGAGGTGGTGCAAAGTGTTCTAACTCTATATAGTATAAAGATAGAACCAGCAAGATTTCTTAACAGATTGATGTACAATGTGATGAAGAATGCAGTTGCCATTAACTGAAATGGCAAAGATTGAAGGTAGAAGCAGCTTGAGGGGTGGCTAGGGCAGAGTTCATTAAAACCACAAGGATTTTCTTTGCACAGGGCCCCCAAATCATGTACTTGTCCACTCATATGATTTATTGTGATGTTTATAGTTGGCTCTGGGAATTTCATATTTTATTCCATGTTTTGAATTACATGCCTGGTGGCAATTGGTTGAAACACCAGATGTCTTTCCGTGTATCAGTTGTGGTTTTATTTCCTTTCATTCTTGAGTTGAAACGACCTGAAACCTTTTTGTGTAACATCCCTGCAGTTGTCCTTTGACCCATATAATTGGCCATCAGCCTGGTTGGGCTTCCTCACTGATAGTTCAGTTGGTAAAGAATCTGCCCACAATGCAGAAGACCCTGGTTCAATTCCTGAGTCAGAAAGATCCCTCGGAGAAGGGATAGGCTACCCCCTCAAGTATTCTTAGGCTTTCCTAGTGGTTCAGATGGTAAATAATCTGTCTGCAATGTGGGAGACCTGGGTTCGATCCCTGGGTTGGGAAGATCCCCTGGAGGAGGGCATGGCAACCCACTCCAGTATTCTGGCCTGGAGATTTCCATGGACTGTATAGTCCGTAGGGTTGCTGGACATGACTGAGGGACTTTAACTTCACTGGTTCTGCAGCTTGGATTGCCTGCTATTTTTATTTGGTTACTTGAACCAGTTGCTTATTTAGAGTAGGTATAAATCTTCATGGGATCTGGTGCTTGATGGTAGTAGTTGCAATTGAATAGTTTGAAAATTCTAAAACAGAAAGATTACAAAAATGTGACAGAAATAATGTGAAACTCAGGAAAAATGGAGTGGAAATCTTGAGTAGTTTAACTGTACCCGTTTTGAGTGAAAGGAAACTTTTGTTTTAGATAAAGCCTATTTTATGGTGTTAGGAGCTGGCCAACTGAATTCCATTGGTGTGCACTGCTTCTGCTTTTTATCCTGATGGCATGCTTAGTTTTATCAAGGAGTTGTATTTCCTTCTTACCTCTAAAAAGAAATGTTTACTCTTAAAAACCTAAAACTTAGGTTTTGACATCTTTAAGCAACATGCTTAAGCTTAGTCAGCTGGGCATCTTTACTTGAAGTTCCATATTTCAGACAATAGACAAAACTCTTACTGTGAGAAATTCTCAAGTTATGAAACTCTTATATTCCAAGTAGAATCATTAATATTTAAAGCAAGACAAATTAAATAGAGCATCTGATCCCACCTCTTCATTTTAGAGTTGAGAATACTGAAACTTATAAAAAATTCGATGACTTGCTTAAAAATCAATAGAACTTTTGTTGTTTTCATGATTAGCTATTTTTTAATTTTCAAAGACATATTGGGACATAATTCATATGCCATTAAATTCACACTTCTAAAGTGTACAGTTCAGTGGTTTTTAATGTATTCAAAAAGTTATACAACCATCACCACTCTAATTTCATAACATTTTTGTCACTTCGAAAGAAACCCTGTACCCCTTATCAGTCACTCCTGTTCCCTCCTTTTCAGCCCCCATCAACCATTAATTTACTTTCTGTCTCTAAGAATTTGCCTATTCTGAACTTGTCACATGAATAGAATCATAAACTGTGTAGCCTTTTATATCTGCCTTCTTTCACTCAGCATAATGTTTTCAGGGTTCATCCATGTGGTAGCACTTCATTCCTTTTTATAGCTGAATAATATTCTATTATATGGATTCACTGCATTTTATCCATTCATTTATTAGTTAATGGGCATTTAGTTTTTTTCTACTTTTGGAAAAATGACTTTATTAGTTATGTGTTTTTGAAGGTTATATATTATTTAGTTAGCAAAAGTAGAATAACACACATACTAATTAATAGACACTTTCGTATGTATATATGTCTTGATTGTCCTGGAAGTAGGGGAAAACATGAGTAAAATATCCACTATGAAAAATAAGTTCAAAATTAGTGATTTTGAAGAAAGATTACCACCTTACTTCCTACCCCCATGACCTTTTTAGGAATTTCAACTTAGAAAAGTGGCGATAGAGGGGCTTCCCTGGTGGTTCAGTGGTAAAGAATCTGACTGCCAATGCAGGAGACACGGGTTCGAACCCTGATCTGGGAAGTTCCCACATGCCTCAGAGCAACTAACCCCCTGCACCACAACTACTGAGCCTGTGCTCTAGAGCATGGGAGCCGCAACTACTGAGCCCATAAGCCCCAGACGCTAAAGCCCGCACATCCTAGAGCCTGTACTCAAGAGAAGTCACTGCAATGAGAAGCCCACACACCACAACTAAGGAGTAGTCCCTGCTTGCCATAACTAGAGAAAAGCCCAAGCAGTAGTGAAGACCTAACATAGCCAAACATAAATAAATTAAATTAAATTTTAAAAAAGAAAAGTGTTCAAAGAATTTTTTTTGTTATCTTCAGTGGTATAAAGTGATTCAGGAAATACTGAAATACAGAGGTTGAGTTAATTTGCATTTCATAGGTTGGTTTGATGAATGTATGCAAAACACTTAAAGTCTCAGCAAAAAAATAAAAGGCTAACTAAGTCAGCAAGTTTTGATTTTAAAAAAAACAAATATATTGTTATGGTGGTTTCAGGTTAGAAAATGTATAAAGTCACAGCTTAATCAAGAATGGTTAAACACTGCATGTCATGTTTATCTTTGATATTTCAAATAGTTCTCATGATTTTTCCTAAAATCCAAAATATAAAGAATCTTTGATTGAACACAAGCCAATCCTTTGATTATTGTCAGAGCTCCCTACGTGGTTTCTATTGTTTCCTTCTTAGAATTGGGAGTCCAGGTCTGGACATAGTGTTCAATTTTGAACCTGACCAATATAGTGTCACCAGTGGTACCTCTTACTCCTTTATCTCTAGGTTTTTTTCCTTTTTCTCTTTTTTTTTGGTTGCACTGAGTTTTCATTGCCACACTTGGGCTTTCTCTAGTTGCAGTGAGCTGGGGCTACTCTTCGTTGCAATGCACAGGCTTCTCATTGTGGTGGCTTCTCTTGTTGTGGAGCACAGGCTCTAGGATGCGCAGGCTTCAGTAGTTACAGCTCACGGGCTCAGTAGTTATGGCTCGTGGGTCTAGAGCACTGGCTCAGCAGTTGTGGTGCACAGTCTTCAGTTGCTCCACAGCATGTGGAATCTTCCCCGACCAGAGATCGAACCTGTGTCCCCTGCATTGCCAGGTGGATTCTCACCCCCTGTAGCACTGAGGAAATCCCATCACTGGCTTTTAAAGGGATGATGCTCTTCTGTGGATGTGGCACTTATTCATCAAGTGGTGTTGTTCAGTCGCTCAGTCATGTTCAACTCTTTGTGACCCTGTGGACTGCAGCACATCAGGCCTCCTTGTCCCTCACCATCTCCTGGAGTTCTCCCAAGTTCTTGTCCATTGAATTGGTGATGCCATCCAACTATTCATCAAGTGCTTCTTGTAAGTTGAAATGTAGCCTACTGTGAGAGCTGAGCCTTGGGACAAACCTGCCCCAGTCAGGAATCAGGCCTTTATGGAAGCAGGACAAATGAAAAGACCTTGGACTGGAGACCAGTCTGCAAAAGAAGATCTTGTTGGACAATAAGACTCCTGCCTTTGCTGATCATTTTCTTTTGTTCTGATAGCATTTGTTGCATTCTCATGGGCCAGGCTCTGTGTCAGAGCTATTTGTAAAGATGAGTGGAGGTTAAGCCCCTACCCTCAAAGAACTCAGTCCAACAAGGGATTGAGCACTGGATCTATTAATATAATATAAAGGTCTAAAAAAAAAAATAAAATAAAGGTCTAACAGAGACACATGTAATAGTGTTACTTCAGCTCAAGTTTCTATACCAAACATCATCAAGATACTCCCAATTCTGCTGTCTTAATGGAGTATATATGAAAAGAAGAATGAATATAGACAACCACAGATTTCATTTTCTCATTAGCTTGATCCTTATTCCAGAAAGGGACTAACAGCTGGTATAGAGATTCATTTAGCCTCATTTCACACAAATTATGAATACTTGGAGTGGGACATATTTTTGTATGACAATGAGTTCTAGCAATAACAAGATTTTTAAAGTAATTGAATAATTATATTTATTTATGAATCTAGAAGTCAAAACCTTTTATCTTCATCCTTATTGCTGTGGTTGAGATAATACAAGCATGAAAATTTCAGAAAAAATCCGTGCTTTTACCAAATAGCAGTCCAAAGAAAAAGCTGAAAATGTTTTAAATGTCTATTTTCCCAACAGATTATTCTTTTTAGAAAGTCAATACTAACTCACAAGTAGTATTCATTGTACATGCTCAAAAAGGCAACGGTTTTATGCAACTTTTTTGTTAGAACCTGGCTTGGTCTTTGATAGCAATCTCTTGTTAGACAATTCTTATTGCATAATATCACCCCTTTGTTCTACTCTCCATCAGCTACTGGCTGACCACACTATAGAAGAGACAGGAAGCAATGCCTCTTATTTGAGCTCCATTTAACACTTCAAGATCTAATGAAGGATTTTGAACAAAAACACAACAAATTATATAGTTAAATCTACAATCACTTTGAAATAGAAATGACATCATGCAACCAGTTAACTAAAAACCAGACGAACTATTAACACTTGTACAGAGATTAAAGACAGTAACTTATTCTATAATTTTGATTTCTTATGAGTTTTATTATTTATTTTTCCAACATGTCATTAAAATCATTTTGCTAATGAAAATGGTTATCTCCCCTGTTAGTCCTCTCAAGGTTGCTGGAACCAAGTCAAAGTAACAAGTAGCAAGTAACATGAAGGGGAACTGACCCAGAATTAGTCCTACTCCTACTATGCTCACTGATGAACCAAGTGTGCAAATTGTTCCTTGCCACCATCCCATATTCCCCACACCCACCCCTTGCAACATTAAACTGCCAAACACCACCCAGGAACGGATTTCCTATTTCGTCATTTAAACCCATTATCTTGTTCCCTTACTATCTTGCCAAACTGGTTTCCCTCTACTTAAATTCTGAGACATGATGTGGCAAGATAACAAGTCTAGACTGTTTGTATAAATAGACAGTTGGGTCTTAAAGTTGAAGCAGAGGACCAAACGCCAAGTCCTTTTTTTTTCCCTTTTCAGTCTGCTGCTTAGACTCCTTGTAATCCCAAAGAGATTGTCTTGACTCCAAAGCAGTTCTTTGTGTTTTACAGGGTGCATCATTTAGTACAGCAGTCGTCCAATAACTGCAAGGCAGTAGACTGAAAGTTTGGGGTAAGAAAATGAGAGTATACCATAATCAATTGAAACTGTAGCCTTTGCCTAACTTGCCAGTTGGAAAACACAGTTAATTTAGTTAAGATCACCTTAATCTCTAGAGTATGTGCACATATACACTGAGGCTTGGCATCATGAAGCTGATATTTTGAGTGAATGGCCCTGCAGGAGGGTGTTGGTAGATGGCAGCCCTGTGGATTAGGAGTTTCAGGGACTTCCCTGGTGGTCCAGGGGTTAAGAATCTGCCTTCTAATGCAGGGGTGGGGGTTCAGTCCCTGGTCGAGGAGCTAAGATCCCGCAGGCCTCTCGGAATGGCAAAAGAAAAGATTAGTAGTTTCAGAGGACTCCTTTCAATCAAATCAGAGTTGTGGAGTATGGGAGAGTCTCCCCGTTTGCCTCAAATTATCTGTGTGTCCATAAACACTCCAGAATTTTATCTTTTTAAATGTCAGGCATTTGGTCATTGATTTCCAGAGTATGATTTACCTAGAAATGACTGTCAAGACAAGCTTGGTGAGTAACCAGGGATAAAAGATGATGTTATCTCTAAAGGTTGCCATTTAGTGACATGCCCCAATTACATTATTCAGGTCATTGTATACCCGCCTTTGCATCCTCCCAGATGTAGAGTATATAGAATATGTGTCCTTAGAAAGATGCTTGTGGTGATTGATGGTGACTGTGGACTCCTGAGAGCCAAACGGGAAAACCAAACTGACATCATAATGCTTGCAGGAAGTCCTGGGACTGACAGATCTCTGGGTGATAATGGGGCCGTGAGAGGAGTGACTGAAAGACTGAAAAAGAGTAGTGGTAAGACAGGGAGAAAGTTTAAAATTCCCAAAGTACTGTTTTTCATTCTTATTTTACTATGAATCTTTCTGATAATAAATACGGGGGGCAGGAGTGGGGTGGGGGAGGACCTTATCTAGATTTAATCCCCTCAAGCTTGCTGGAACCAAGTCAAAGCACAAACTGAGCTGCCTCTTCGACACTCCTAAGAAAAGCCTCCTTATAACAGCCTCAGGAGCTTACTTCAAATCCCAGGCCTTTGTCTTTCATCTCTCTGCTCTTGGGGCTCTGGGTAGTGCCACATCTGGTGGTGGTTTGTGTGAAAGGAAATAATATGTATAATAGTTTCCTGTTTGGTCATTTAAACCTATCCTTGTGCTGGACAGAATTTGACCCACTTCGCTCAACAGCAGCGTCCTGTCACTAAAGTACCTGTTATTTACAGTGATCTGTCAGCTGAAGTCACAGTGCTTTACCACTAGCCCCAAAGCTGCCCATCCCCCTTATTTGGATCCTTCTTATCTTCATTTATACAAACAGTGTTATTATAGCTTAAACTGGAGGCTGAGATTTATTTCTTTAGAGCACAGAATTATTTTTGATAAGAAACAAAGTCTAGTAAATATGGTCATTGTCATCAATCTCTTATTCATTTTTGGAGCCAGATTTCATTTTATTCTTGAACTTTATTCTTGAATTGAATTTTATAATTTATTGTGTAATGACTGGCAAGGAGTTTTTAAAAAGCAAAACCAAAAAGGTGCCAATAATAAACTGAAAACTATTTAATACTTTGAATTCTTTTTTTCTGATTTGGCTCTGATCTCTCACCCTGGCTATCTTGACAGTCTTGCCTTTGAGGTCTTTCTTTGTATTTCATTTGCTGCAGAGATGGCTAGTTTTCTTCTCTCTGGGCCTGTCCATTTGTGGTTCTGAATGTCCCAGAGACCACGAAACTTGGAACATTATTTCTGTATATAGTTGTCATTGTTCAGTCGCTCAGTCATGTCCGACTCTTTGTGACCCCAGCACACCAGACTTCCCTGTCCTTCACCATCTCCCTAGAATCTCTTCATACAGTAAACTCTTTTAACTGCACAATGAGTACTGACAATTCCTAAATCTGTTTATATATTTGGGGGGGTGGGAAATTCCACTGTGCACTCATCACTTGCTTTTTACTCTAGTCCCATAAACTGATTTCAGTTTCTTCTTCCTTAGAGACATTGGGAATGTATGGATACTTCATTTAGTTTGGACCTCCGGAAATGCTTATGATAAAACAGAGAGAAATGTTTGTAGCATCACAACGTGTTTGCTTAGGGCAGGGGTGTGCATAACTATGACCCTCAGGCTAAATGCAGTCCGCAACCTACTTGTGCACATTAGGACTAAACATTTGTAAAGTGTAAGGGAGAACCAAAGAGTATGGAACAGAGACTATATGTGTCCCACAAAGTTTAAAATACTCTCTGACCCTTTATAAAGAAAAAGTTTACTGACCCCTACCTTGGACCAGCATCATATGTTAAAATTTAAAGCCTTGTATTTAGAGCAGCTGATGTCTCTTTGAACTTCAGATGTAAACTCTTATTGGGTACTGCGTGCTATACCAGACTAAATTATACTACATTTATTCCAGTTTGATTCTGTGTCGGCACTATTTATATATTATTTCAGTGCTTCTCAATTCTTGCTGCATCTTAAAATCATCTGGAAAGCTTTAAAAATACTGTTGCCTAGGCCCCTACACCAGAGATCCTGATTTAACTGATCTGAAAGGGGACCTGGGCATAAGTGTGTCTTATATGCTTTTCAGGTGATTCTAATATTCAGGCAGGTCTGAGAACTACAGACCTATACCACTTGAAGGTCTTTTTGTGGATTGACAATCAGACCATATTGTTAGGCAGTTTTTATTCACATTTTTCATTAGAAATATTATAAAGATCCATTATACAAATTGCTCTATAATTTCAAGACAGAAGTGTTGCTTAGGGAAATTTTAACTGAGACAATTTTGAAATGTGAAGAGCATAAGAAACAGACAATGCCGAGACCAGAAAAATAGAATTTAAAAGATAGGAACTGAAAGGAGCATGCTGGAAAAAAAAGAAAAAGAAAAAGAAAAAAACCACTCAGAATTTCAATACACAAATCACTGAGTAGATTTCTTGCTGTCTGGGTAAGTGTATCTATTTTCAAAAGTGCTATTAACATAAACAGAGCAGTAAATCTGGGGCACCATCCTTTTTTTTTTTTTTCAAAGTTGTTAAGAAGAATTATATCAGTCTGCAGGTGTCACACGCAGTTACTCAGAATCAGAAAGAAGGCTGATCGGGGGTTAGAAGATCTCCATCTATCTATCTTTTTGCAACCAACCACGTCCAGGCTGTTTATTTAATACTTCCTCTTGCTAATGAAGGTACTGGTTGGGGATGGGTCGGGCTTTCCCATGTCAGCATAAGACTGCAAGATTTGAATGTGCCCTGGTGTTGGCTTCACTGACCACAGCAGGTACCCCAAGCAAGAATCTGAGCAGCAATAACAGGTAACAGCAGAGTTTGCATCAGACCTCTGACAGTTTTCCTTCCAGTGTATTTCTTTTTCTCTCCATTTATCATCGTGTTCTTTTCCCTCTTCTTTTTTCATTTTTCCAAACCAGCAAGTGTGGAGGCAAGACACATCAAAGCAGAGATGGGAAGTGAAAGAGCTCTCGTTCTGGACAGATTAGCAAGCAATGTGGCAAAGCGAAAAAGCTCAATGCCTCAGAAATTCATTGGTAAGAATACAACCCTTTTTCCTGCTGTTGTTAGCAGATAGCTTGAATGAGATAACATAAGATGCTTACTACCCAGGCCTTTCCTACTTTAATCTCTGTTAATCGATTTTTCCATTTACAAGTTTTATTCTTTGGGATTCACTTTGATAACTAGAGCAAATAAAATAAAATATTTTTAACTAAAAAAATATTAACTACTAAAGAGAGGAGTATTTGGTATCCAGTATCTTAAATGAAGTTGGTGTTAGAAATGCTGTTCCTTCCTCTTTATTTTGAATGACATATGTTGCATGAGAGAGTTTGTGCAATTTACACCAGTAAGATGTTCAAGATAGCATTTTTGTAATCTTTTGTAATTATATTTTACAAGTTGGTTCCCTTATCATGCTCAAACTTTTTTCAGGCTCTAAAATGTATTGTTATATTTTCTTGAATTTGATTGAGAATTGGTTTTAAAAGAATGTGGTTGAGAATGCATAGATTTAAATAACAAGGTTTGATTTAGTCACTTGTCTTACTGGAGTTAATTTTTATACCATTGGTTTTCACATTGTCAAAAAACACAGCAAGAATGAGATGGCTAAGAAATAATTATGTCCGTTAAAGTGTTAGGACTGCCAAATGGCAGAAATATTTTGTTGAACTCTCCCAGATGTTTACATAAATGTGACTATGATATTTAAAATAGATTTGTATTTGTGGAGTAGGCAGCTGAATTGAATGTATCAGTTTTGCTATAATTGAAAGTCAGTGATATTGAACAAAAATAGTTATCACACAAAAATAGACCTTCCTCAACACCAATAATATTTTAGAACCCTGTCAGTCTGTTTTTCCAAAGCTGTTGCTACTATTGATTTTTTACTTCAGTTCTTTTGTGTTTATTCTTTTCAATAGCTTTTACAGATATCAAACACCTGCCTGGTTTTTTAATCTGATTAAATTTTATTCTGGTCTAGATAATTTCTAAATTCTGGTATAATTAGTTTTTTAATTTTATGTGAATTATAGAGATATATTGAAGGAACCAATATATTTCAGAGCTACCCAGTTTGGTGTTTATGCTTATTTATTTTATGTTGATTGGCTGAGAAGTTTTTGTATCCTTTTAGTTATTGTAAGAATAAATCGTGTCAGACTAAAGTTGGTGCATTTCAGTTTAGAGAGACTCTTTCCTCATTACCATCTTCCCTCTCCTGGAGGGAAGTGTCAGAGGACATACAGTGACTTCCATATGGAGTTTAGGCACAGTGGACAAATCATGACACCATGACATTATATTAAAATATTGCTCATACATCTTTTGAGCTGTACTTGTGTAAAGAGGTTCTGGCTGGAGTACAAAAGGAAGCTTGAATTATTCTTCTGTGCCATGAGTATAATGTAATTTGGGGGATGTTTTGACTGTAGAAATGGCTGCAGCTGATGTAGATGAAGGAACGTGGGGAGAAATGGGCAAGAAAAAAATGTAAAGTGACTTAATTTCAGTCCACTTATGGTCAATGCATGTTGGTTTAAGAGAATTAAAATATGAGAGACGGTACTTAGTTCATATAATTTCCTTAAACCTGTCCTTGAACTAAAGCCCTACTTAATAAGTTGTTTTGGTATTTTCATGGGTTTAAAAACACATGTTTCATATGTGCAAGTCCATGCCATTTTACTTATTGCATCAGCGATCCGTTCCATTTGTTTAACACCAGAGGGTTTTCACTCTTCCATTTCCAGACTCAGGAGAAATGCTGATCTGGTAGGTACTGATTTCTCTCATATTCTGAACCATCATGTTCTGTCTGTGCTGGCATCAGGAAACCAGTCGAGTTAGCTCTTGATTTGAGCTGAGGCAGCAACTTCAGGACTTCGGGGCCCTGAATAGCTGGGGGAATTTTTTTTTTTTAATTGTGATAATATGCAGTAGGAAGAGCACTGGATTAGGAGCCAGAAGACCAGGTTCTGATTCCAGTTAAGTCATTTCTTAACTTGTGTGTGTTTAGACAAATCACATAACCTTTCTGGGCCTCTGTTTCCTCATCTGTGAAATGAATAGACTGAACAGGTGATGAAGTGATGGAGAAGGTCCCTCCCAGCTCCATCATTCTGTAAGTCTGTAAGACGAGGTATAAAAGCCAGCAATTATGAGCACTACTTTAAGTCAATATGTGTAACTTCAGATCACTTTTTTCTCAAGATTGTATAGATATGATATGTTATTATATATTTGTTGTATGTTATAAACCATATCATATAATTTAGGGTTTTTTTTTTAGAAAGATGTCATTTAACGTGAGTATCTATAAAACAGCTACATTAGTTCAACATTTATGTATTTTACTTAGTATATTACTACTGATTCATCCACTCTTTTTCTCCATTCATTTATCATGCAAATGTCTATAGAGCTCCCGCCATGTGTGTGATAGTCTGGTTCCTGGGCACTGTTCTCATCTTCTAGCATTAGCTTATACCCTGAACCTTAAGAGATTTTTTTAAAAAATAAAACTCTCTGAATCACTTAACTTAATCAACCTTTTTGATAGAAAAGAGTAATTTCAAAGGGGAACTAAAGGAACATTATGACACCATGCAGTGTTCAGGATGTAGTAATATAAGACATGTGGAGCTAATATCTTCCCTCCCTCTTTTCTCTCTATTTGCTCTCCAAGGCACCATTTTCTGAAAGGATTCAGCTGCCAGGCAAATGGCAATGGGTAAAATGTGAAGGAAGAATGAGTCACTCCCTTTAATCCTGGCTGATGGTTGCACAGCTTCCAGACCAGCCTTGGCTTCCCTGACCTCTTGAACTGTGAGGGTAAAGGTGAAGATTATACCATCAGGTCAGCCTGTTACTTTTCTAACAGGCTTGAGATAATTACCTGTAGAAAGCATTTTCACCCATTAGAGATGAACTGAGGAAGCAGACAGATTGTATTGTCTAAATGCATTTAGAAACACAAAAACATGCCTCTGTTGAAGAGTAAGAGTAAAATTAAATCACCCAAGGAGGAGAAAAATGAAATCACCTTTTTTTAATTCTCCAAGAAATGTTGTATCACTTTCTATAAAATGGGAAATAAATTGACACACATTCATTAGAAATCAGCATCTGTACGTCATCAAAATAATTCTTCTTAGTTATTCTTCCCAAAGGACAAGAAGACCTTGCTTTTAGCACCTAACCCCCTTAGGAACTGTCTTTTCTCTGAATCTTATTCTCCGGTTACAGACTTGCTTGACTATACTTCTAACTAGGCCATCTTCAAATACTTGGCTCAAAATAGAGGCCAGATTTCTCTCCTGGAGGGAGGAGGAAAATGACTACATTTCTGCATATTTCTTTTTCTGATTTTCATTCTTTCTCCAAAAACAGATGTGTTATTCAGACCAAAGTGGTTACCATAGCATCTCCCTATTTTTTTTTTAATTTCATGTATTATTTTATTAAAGGAAGTTTTCACGTTGAAAAGAACATGAGAAAAGATCTCACTCACGCCCGGTAAACATGTCATGAGGTTTTGACACTTCAGCAAACACTGTCGGTTCTCCCTGTGAAGGAACTAATGAGAAATTGTCTGCTTTGGTTAACAGGGTGACAGGAAGCAGTTTTAGTGCCTATTTCTAAAAGCAAAAAGTATGTCCTCCCGTCCCTTCCCAAAGGGCCGAAATCCCTAATCCTATAAGCATCCAAAGTCATAGCCTTTTTGAGCTTGAAGGAATATTAGGAACCAGTAGGTGAAGTTCGTCCATTAAGGGAGGAAGAGGGATGGGAAAGATAGAGAGACGCAGCTAGTAGGTGACAGAGCAGGGCCAGAGCCTGGGTCTATAATATGCTGCAGTGCAAGACCTTCCTTCCGCAGAAAGTCACCCGGAGCCGTACATGTCATGTGCGCTACACAGGGGCTTTGAAAAGGGGAGGATCTAGTCACTGAAAGCTGGTGGAAGAAAAATTCTTGAAGAAGGCCAGTCATTCTCTCTTAAGGGTGTGTTTTCTTGAGAAAAGAGCTGTGGTGACTCCATCAGGGCAGATGACAACCAAATAGCACTTCACGGTGACTCACAGGGGACAAAGGCTTCTGCAGCACCCGAATGTGGTCTCCAGCTCCGTTTTCCTCACCGCCACCCCCACAACTCTCTCTTTTCTCTCTCCTCCTTCCTGCTTCTTGTTCTGTGGCTTCCTACCCTCTGTTCTCCTCCTGGAAGAGGTGTTAGCCACTTCAGTCTCACTTAGAGTGAGATCAGAGCCATCACCATCATCAGATATTCCATTTACCCTACTTACCTGCCCTTTTCTAGGGGGAGGATATGTGCTTGGAGTAAGAGTAAGCGATGATACACGTGGGAAATGGTATGAAGGTATCAGCAGATACAATTAAGTGATTTGAAGAAGCTTAAAGACTTAATGAAAACTCTGGTGTTTCACATTACCCTGTTGTGATGACTATCACATCGGAATTGTTATTTTTCTAATGTCAAAATCATTTCTCCTCCTCGTCAAAAAAAAAAAATCTTTCAATGGCTTCTCATCAGAATAAAATCTAAACCACCCAGGCGTTCTGAGCCTTTCACAATCTGTCTCTAAGTTGTCTTTTCTAAATGTATCATTTCAGCCAACTAATCTTTTAATTCAGCCATAATGAACTACTCCCACTTCTATGTTATCATTCTCGCTGTCTGGAATGCCCTCCCTCCCATTCTGCCCAGAATGGTCTACATTCCCATACTGTCCTGAGTCCTCTCTCTGTCCTCCCCCTGCAATCCAGGCGGGTTCAACAGTCTGCTTTTCGTGATATGTGTAACTGTCTCCGCCACCATCACTTCCACCACCTCAGATTTCAAGCAGATTTTAGAGGAAGAATAAATTAGTATTTGTCCCATGTTATCTGGCATATTTGAGGTGTGGTGTGTATTTTCCTGTCTCTGCTATCTTGGCTACTCTATACTTTGTCCCATCACATAGTATTAAGTACACTAATATGTAAGGAAATTGTGCACATGCTACATCTCCTGTTGGATTGCAATTAAGTTTGTATTCTTCAAAGCACCTAGCATGGTATGAAGCTAACAACAACAACAATAATAGATCTACCACTTATTGAGTGCTCACATGTGCCAGGACTCTGTTAAGCACTTATGGACATCATGACAGCTCTATGCATCTAGATCTTTATTGAATGCATGGTCGTGGTCCATATAGAACAAAGCATAGTTGCTTTTCTGTGCTTACGGAAACCATCCCAGCAGAGAATCCAGAGTCATTGCTGGTGGTGGGATTGAGACACGGGTGAGGTAGCAGCCAGGAAACAGTTAATGCTCAAACACTTACTGAAGTACATGGGCCCATGGATCACATCTCCATTTACCAGCTGAGCAGCCTGTGCGAATTAGTCAACTTGTTTCTGCCTTAAGTCCTTCATCTGACTAAGAGATGATAATTTATCTTAGGTTAAATGAGACAATATACTAAGTACCTAGGATGGCACTGGGTATATAGTAGGGCTCAATAAATAGTAGTTATTCTTCTTAGTGTTTACACATAAGGCCCAGTGCTTGGTACTGTGAAGTAGAGAAGTAACCAGGTTAGAGGGGTGGATCTTGTCCCTGGATGCCCAAGGCAGAAGTCTGAATCCACATGCCCAGCTAAGGTTCCTTTTAGCTCTAGGCTAGGATGTACTTTCAGGTTGGCACTTAGCAGCCAAAGACCATATGCCCTCACCACATTGCCACAACTCAGGATGGGCAGATGCTCAGTTCAGGGTTACCAAAAGACTAGGCAATAGGGATTGACACCTTTAAAAGGAATCACAGGTAGGGAACAGCCCAATGAGACAGCCTGGGTTTCTAAACTTAGGACTTGTTGTTGCTATTTGTATTCTCATTGGAAGAAAACCTCCACTCCAGCCCGAAGCTGCTCTTATTAATCACGCAGAGGTGTGGTTTGATTTTGACTAGAAGCTGGACTGGAGGCTCTGAGCAGGTTTGGGAGCAGTTACACTCTTGTGGTTTGACTAACCTTTTTTATGAGTGTGTTACTAAAGAAACGTGAGCTGCTGGCTTTTCAATTACTGTAGCTTACCCCTCCTGAGTTTCATACACATTGAGTCATCGTGTCTACAGGTGACTGATAATCATCTGCACTACTCAAGTTACCGTAACTCGGAGATGAGGGGATCTGATGAGGGCAGGTTGCGTGCACGTGAAGATCTGAGGCTCTCCCATCTTCTTAAAAATGAACAATGGTCTGCGTTAACCACAGAACTCAGTCGCATATTTCCACATCCAGAGTTGATTTTCCTCTTGCTGTTTTGCCTCTTACAACCTTAGCACTCAGCTGTTTTTTGACATGTGCTGCAGGTGGTAGAGACTGTGAAATCGTTGGCCTAAGTAGGCGCAAACAAACTCTTGGGAGAAAGGATAAAAGCAGAGGTTGGGATGTGTCTGCCCCACCTCAGAAAGTTTCTGGAGCCTCTCTGATAGGCGAAAAGATAAAAAGACTTCCAGAGATTCCTAGTATTTGGAGGAACTGAGTAGAGTTAGCTCCACTGGAAAATCATCAGTAACCTTGAAAAGGCCAGGAAACCAAAGTTCATCATTTCTGTGTCACTTTCAGGGGAATGAATATTTGCGACTTAAGCCAGCTTTCAAGTATTCCAGTCTCATTCTTCCAAACTGCTCTGATCAGAGACACAGCCAGTCTGGCCCTTGAAAGAAGAATTATTGATTACTTTGGCAAAGGTCTTTGTTTCTGTTCCTTTTTATTGAGTAGTTAAGGCACGGTGATTTTCTTGGCATATTTTTTCTCTCAGGTATTTGTCTGGAAGCTGTCAAGTCGGCCTTAAGGTAGTGGGGATGCAGGACAAATCCGTCTGATTAGGTCTTTTAGCAAGTCTTTCTGTCTCCAACTTCTCAATGTTCTGGTCCACCTTACACATTGCTGTTACTTTAATATCCTTAAAATAACATTCTGACCGCAAGCCTGTCTTGCTCCAGAACATTAGAGGTTTGCCATTGTCCAGATCTAAGCCCTACTGTTTGTTGATTGTTCAGAGTAGGCATCATTTGCTCCCACCATGTGTTACCTTTTTTCAACATTCCCCGAAATGTTGTAGGCAAAAGGCTAGGAGGCTCACAGGGCATTTGAAAACCTTGATCTATGTGGCCAGAAAAATATTTTTTTTTAGTTCTCTTTGAATCTTCCTGATTATACCAAGGAGAAAGATTTAGACTTTATTAGATATTAGTTGTCTTCAACACTAATCGCATACTCGGTAAACTCTATTTTTAGCAAAGAAAGAGGGGATCTTTGTCTACAGGTACTTAGAGTATCTGATCAAACTTTAATAAACTGCTGTGTTTCGTTGTCTTTATTTTTCATAGTTAACCTTCTATTTGTGGCAAGTGACTCTGGTTTTCCATTTATGTTGGTGATATAAAGTTTCCTTAAAAAAACAAATTTCTTTTAGCAAAAAAAGAAAGAAAACGCAAGCCAATTCAAACCAAATAAAAAACCCTAATGTCTCCTGAGTGCTCTCGGTGTGCCTGGTACTCTTCCAAGCTCTTACTAGTTCAGGTAGATACAGTCATCACCCCATGTTACACGAGGACATGGAGCCACAGACAGGTCAAGGAACTTACCCCGCTCACACCTTTAGTAGTGGTGAGGCAGCAGCAAATCCTTAGCGTCTGGCTCCAGAGCTCTTGCTCTCCACCACTGCACTGCCCTGGGGCGTTGCTCCCGCACGGTGCGGAGGAATAAGTGAAATCTGAGAAATCCTTCGTGCCCTACGTCCTGATACTGTATCCTGACTCTCTCATTCCTCTTGGATGGTCCCTCGTGTCTGTCTTGATTCATGCTCATGTCTCAATTAGGATGTCTCTTCTGCCTCTCTGAAAATCTAAATCCAACCAGTTAATCCAGACCCTTCTCAAACTTTAGATTTTCTAAGAATACTTTCCCTTCCGAAAGTACTCCTGATGTTTTTGTATTCCCTTAACATTTAAATAGATAGTTTGTGCCAGACTGCCCTGCCCTTGCCTTATAATCATTTTTACAGAAGACATGTTCCCCCATCCCCGCTTAAATGCCTCAGACATGGCATTTAGAATAAAAGCTTCTGTAGAGCAAGGCAGCCCTTTCTAAACTTTTAGCGTTTATTTTTCTCCAGTCCCAGCTCTCCAACTCTTGCTTCTCTCTCCCTAGGTTGGCGAGTCCTCAAGAACAGAAGCCGGCTCTTTCAGTCCCTTTTGTCTTTTTGTGTTTTTTCCTGCCTAAAGCCTTTACTGTGTGGCAGTGACAAGTTTTGGAATCATAACATGCTTCGGAAATGTTAGGGAAGAGAGGTTATCGTTTAACAAATCTCTCAGCATCCAGTGTCTACAGAATGAAAAAGCATCAGGAGTAACCTTGGCCTCACTTCCAGCCCTTGACATGTCTTCCCCACTTTCTTGTGCCTCCACCAGCCACTCACCATTGAGCTCACCTGCCATCACTGCAGACCCAACTTCTGCCTTCCCCATGGCTAAAGAGCCTGTTTTCAAACCAGAACACCCACACGCCCTGAAGGTGGCTAAACTCTGTTTTCAAAATTTCTCAGCAGTTTGACATGAGAAGTAGGAGAGGGTGACCACAAATAAATTTTTCAGTTAAGTGTGAGATAAGTCCTGATGATCACATATGTATCAATGACACATCTTTTCAAACAAAAGAAGAATAACACACTTTATGAGGACAAACATCATGATCTTTCATCAAGAGAGCCTTTCTAAAACCCCCTGCCTTTGAAGTGCTTTTATTTAAATCTCAGTCAATCTAATGACCGATGTGTTTCGGGAGTGGTAAGTTGGAGTTTTGGGGGCTATTTTTTCTGCCTCTGCAGCTATTTAAAAAACTGCCGAGGTCAGAGCATCCCCACTTTTTGCAGCACATCCGGTCCCCTGGCTCCCTAGTATTACAAGCAGAAAAGAACAAGCAAACTAAGAGTTCAGGAATGGACTGCATCTTGAGAGTTCATGAATAGTAGAGATGCAGAAGCCCCCACGCTCCTGACACTGGCAACTCCCCCCCCCTCCTAAGCCCCCTGCTGATGTTCTCTTGCTTCTTTTCTCCAGGGTTCCCCTCTGACATGAGCAGTGAAAACAACTCACATTGTAGCCTCAACTTAGTGACATCTCTGACTCCCTCTTGCCTGCTGGTTTCAGTTATTTTGACTGTCCAAACATGTGCTGTCAACCACTGTCCCTTGAGACTTCAGCACCGTGCAGGACCATTTCGCCTGGGCTGAGTGTTCTTAAGCAGGCAACTTGTCCTTCCTCATTTCTCAAGGGCTCCAGAAAATCATTTTAAAAACTCTGTGCCTTTGTATTGTTCCTTTTGTCACCGTTTCTTTCCCTTGTTGTAGGTGAGAAGCGCCACTGCTTTGATGTCAGCTATAATCCTAGCTACATGTACGAGAAGGAGAGCGAGATGATCCAGACCCGAATGATGGACCAGGCCATCAATAACGCCATCAGCTATCTCGGGGCCGAAGCCCTGCGCCCCTTGGTCCAGACGCCACCTGCTCCCACCTCAGAAATGGTCCCGGTTATCAGCAGCATGTACCCCATAGCCCTCACCCGCGCCGAGATGCCAAATGGTGCCCCCCAGGAGCTGGAAAAGAAGAATATCCACCTGCCAGAGAAGAGTCTGCCTTCTGAAAGAGGTCTGTCCCCCACCAACAGTGGCCACGACTCCACGGACACTGACAGCAACCACGAGGAACGCCAGAATCACATCTACCAGCAAAATCCCATGGTCCCTCCTCGCGTCCGCAATGGGATGCCGCTTCTGAAGGAGGGCCCCCGCTCTTATGAACTCCTCAAGCCCCCACCCATCTGCCCAAGAGACTCCATCAAAGTGATCAACAAAGAAGGAGAGGTGACGGATGTGTACCGGTGTGACCACTGCCGAGTCCTCTTCCTGGATTACGTTATGTTCACTATTCACATGGGTTGCCATGGCTTTCGTGACCCTTTTGAGTGTAACATGTGTGGATATCGAAGCCATGATCGTTATGAGTTCTCGTCTCATATAGCCAGGGGAGAACACAGAGCCATGCTGAAATGAACATCCAGGCCCAGAGATAATTGTCACCTGATCATTCCATATCATTTTTAAAAACTGATAATGCCACTTGCCAAATCACTCTCAAACTCAGTTCCAAACCCCTTTCTACACCATTTTAGTGTCCAAAGGATCACATTCACGTGGGCAGCAGAGAAATGCTGTCCCCATTCAGAAATCGTTTGCAGATATATCATGTTACTACTTTTGTGAAACCTGTATTTTCCCATCAGGGAAATTTAAAAGCCAATGAAATATTTGGTCATTATTTTTTGTAGCAATAGAGAGGCATTCTTTGGAGTCTATTGCCAATCAGAAGAGTCCCCTGGTTTTGCTGTGTGAAACATTGTTTTCTAAATACATCGGCCATATGTGGAAAAGCCTCATAGTCCTATGCTCAGGTCCACAGAAAGAACTGTTGACCAGCTAACCTTGCTGGGAAACCTTGCCCATCTGCACTTCACCCAGGTTTGAAAGTTTAGAATATGAACTCTCCATCCCAAATTAGAGTCTAACAGTAAGGAAAAGAACAGCCATAAAATAAGTTACCAAAAACCGAAGCCCCTACTCTCCAAGCATCAGAGCCACCTCTTATCACACAAGCGAAAAAAACCCAAGTTATCCGATGATACTTCCGCTTCTACTTTTATCCTCCCATCTCCCATTAAAGCTGCTTTGGGTTAAACCAGGCACAGAAGAAACTCTGTATCAGAAGAACCAGTGGTTTAAACCTAGACTGTCGTTGGAACTCCAGGAGGTTGTTTGTTTGGATGATGGCATCCTTTTCCTACGATGGAGATTGGCAGGCATGGTTCTGAGCGGGGAGTGATTCAGCATCATCACCAGGGATGGAGGGAGGGAGGAACAAGCAAGCCACCAGAAGTTTTTCATCTCCTTTTGTGGAGTATTGGTGTACAAACCCAAAGCAAACTTGCCAATGACTTGACAAAAAATCCCAAAAACCAAAGAATCCAAAGTGTATGACTTAGTCTCCCCCAGCCCACAGGAAGGAATCAAGGCTAGATACCATGATCAGAGCTGAGCTTCCGAATGGGTGAGGAGAGAGGACCTCTGTGGGCAGGTTCTCCTTCATCAGGCAGGTTGGGGGTTCCACCACCCCCCGCCCCACATTTTAAATGGAGCTGTTGTATTCCACAGTTTCCTGACAATTTGCTCTTGGTTCTGCAGATGTGTTGGACATCTTTCTCATTAATTATGGGAGACATGCTGTCAAGGAAAAGTGCTGTGATAATTGTAAAATTAGCACTGGAATAGGGGTCACACAATCTGTTAGCTGAATTCCATGTTTGCCACTAATTAGTGGAATGACTTTGGGCAAATCACTTAACTCTTAAAACTAAGTTTCCTCAACCACAGAATTAGGGGTTGGATTGGATTTTGATGTTCTCTTAAGGTCTTTTCCAGTTTTAAATTTATGTGATTGTGTAGTAACCACAATTATTTTTTTTTTAACCTCTTAATGTATGGGTATTAAGCAGAAGAGTGTGTGTATATGAATATATGTTTCACATTTCTTTGGTGTGAAAATGGTAGTATTGTTAAGTTTTTCCTTTAACCACTGAGTTGTGAGTGTGAAGGGAGAACAAAAAACAGGAAGGTATCTTGATCTTGCCCCCGAGTGTGCACACAAACTGGCACCTGCAGCTGCTTACAGAGCCTTATTTTTTCTCTCCTTTGAAAGTAACTGTGTTAGGAAAAATAAATGCTGCTTCCAGGGACCACTTCCTGGAGCCTATTTACAAATTAAGAGTCAGTTGTGTGAACATTTCTAGCAGAGGCAAGAATGCCCAATTCCTGGTAGAATAGTGTTTTATGTATCTGCCTTGATATTTCGAAAGGGCTTTATGCATTAGGCTCAAACTCAACGCGTCTGTGTGCTGCCAGTAATTTAAATGTTCCACCTCAGACTGCACAAATGGCTTATCCTTCTTTGTAGCATGGCGTCTGTCTCAGGAAAAAAAGATTTTGTGAAATTCCATGGCAACAGTCCCAACATGTTTGAGATTTCAGCTAGAAGACTAGAAGGATTTCGGTGTGTGGGATTCTGAACATCACTGTGTGTCTGTAATCCTAGACCCCAAGCCACACCAGGTTGTTTACACCCATTGTGAAAGAGGAGCTGCTTGTTATATTTTTGAAATATCACACATCCTGTTGACTCTTTAGGGGACAAAAGGAAGAAAATTCGGAAGCAAGGATTAGCAGAAGAGAAAGCTAGGGAAAGCGAGTATTTCCACCAGCTTAGGGGGAGAGTCTTTAGAGAAAACATCATCTTCTGCACTTTAAGATAGTGAAACTAAAGCCCTTCCCACCAAGATGGGGACTCTGTAGCTATGACCCTGGTTTTCTCTGTGATTTCTGAATTTTCTGAATGATTTCCATTGTTCTGAGGTCAGTTTTGTGAGTGAGGTGACCCCTCACACAGGCTGCACATTCACTGTTGCATTCTGAGCCTCGGATTGGGACATGTCAAGTCCCGAGAAAATGTGTATGTGGAAACTCCACATTCTTCTATCTTGAAATTGAACAGGGTGGAATGTAGCAGTTGCCACAATACAGGTAAACACTTAACTTCTGCAGGCACTCCTTATGCTACTTAACCCTCTCCCTTGCTTGGGGTGGGGAAGGAGGTGAAGAACCTTAGCAAGATGCCTAGAGAGGAGGGCAGGTTAAGATTTACATCTGACCCTGCTTTACAGTGAGGTGTTCGGCAGCTTCTGACAGCACAGTCCTCTTCTCAGCCAGAGTCCCTGTGACTGTGAGCTGTGTAGGTTTTCTTTCTCCTTCACTTTCCCCAATCCTCTTATTAGCCAGGCCCCTACCACACACCCAGGAGGCCGAAATCTGAGGAACAGCCAAACCAGTGAAAAATTCCCCTACAGCCAAGGTGGTAAAGGAGTGGAAAAGGAAGAGGGCTGTTCTCCAAACGTTTTTTCTTGTTATTTGAAGTGTTGCCTGTGTTCCCTCCTTCAGTTCCCTGGCAGAAGTGTCTTCCCCATTATACTGCACACCACCACCAGAAGAAAATATTAATAAATCCACAAGTCTTTAGATTCCTTAAATCATTCTTCCAAGAAGATATTAACCTTGACACAGATAAGCTAGCTAATGTTATGCTTTGTTATCCATTCTAAGCTGTTCCTGACTCAGCTTCCAACTTTATCAGTGACAAAATGTCTCACCGTTTAAAGGCAAAGCTTATTTAACATTTTACCAGACCCAGAAGTAAAATGACCTCAGATTTCTTTTGCAAAGAGAGATGTTTAAAAACACATTTTATTCAGTTGAAACACCGTGTTAGTAACAAACCTAGCTTCTGCATAATGCTTTTTCCAAGGAGCTTCTGTATCACTTGTTTTATTCCCCTCCTCTGCTTTTTTCCCCCAGCTAAATGTGAGGTTTAGAATGTTTTTAGGGGAAAAAAGCAATACTTCTGATATATATCCCAGGACAGGCAGTAAGACTGCAGTGTAAATGTTAAATGTTTAGTGTTTGAAGTTGTAACTTTAAAGTGTACCCCACTATGAGTAGGTACGTTGGTCTCTAGTGGAGATTTGGAAACTCTATAATACTCAAGATTTGAGTCCTCAGAGTGTCCGGGCTCTTTGACAAACAGAGTTAAAAGTTTGAGTTAAAGAAGAGAAAAGAAAGGGGAGTGATGAAAAGTTTGCCCTAGAAAATGGACTCAGGCTGTGCAGAAGATAAGAAATAGGCAGTGATCCTCCTCATCTTTTAAAGAATCAGGAGCTATTTTTGTGCTCAGAAAGTACAGTTCAGAGACTCTCTATAGGCAGAGTTCAGAAAAGCAGAATGATTGGGGATTTAAGTGCCTATGAAAAGGACAATTTTGACCTAAAACCAAAAACTAAACCAAAACCTGGGCCATCCCAGGGAAAGGACTCGTCTCTAAGCCTAACTGACTGAAAAGGTCTGAGAATGATCCGTGAACCCAGGGTCGGAGACTGTGGACTTGGAAGAGCCTAGAAGAGTGGTCTAGACTTTGGACTTGTGTAGTTCCTAGCGCAAGACTGTACCTTTGTTGACCCAAGCTGTATATAGCCTGTCCCACACCGTGTCATCAACATGAGAAACAGGTCTTTGCACTTTGAAGAAGCTGGATGCAAGTTTCCTCTGAATATTACAATCGTGAACTGTCATATGCTGATATTGAATTGCTATTTGAAACTGGAATGTTAATGTTTTGATTTTTAAAAATGTAAGGACATAACAATATCTACCTCCCAAGGATGTTGTGAGGTTTTATGTAATTTTGTCTATTAGGTAACATTACTTTGTTTTTGGGGGGGAAGCGGGTGGATTATGTTGGGTGGCTGTAGATTTTCCACATATTTCTGTATCTGGATTTAAAGACATGGAAAATATTCAAAAATCATACTAAGACCATGATAGAAATTCACTTGCCAATAGAGGCAACTTACCCCGAACACACAGTTTGCTTCATGTTGTTTTAATGCCTAAGAGTAAAGAATATGCTGAACCTTAGAACCAATGGGCATGAACCACATGGTACAGAAACTTCATGACTTTGCAGTCAGATTAAGTAAACCGGCTTTGCTCGCTCACCATCTTATGAGCCCTCCACCATTAATTCTCCCAGCGATTTAGTTCCCTCAAGTGGTCCTCACCATCCATCCATCCATCAATCTCACTTTAGAAAGCCCAAGAGCAGTTCCATGATGTCACCCACCTTCTCCCAAGCCCAAGTCACACATCTGTGGGGCCTACTTCATTTTCTGTATGTGGGGGCAGCTTTGCTTCTTCCTCTCCTAAGAAGGCTGAGAATAGACCTTTTGACATGTTAGGAAAATGGGGCAGCCTTAAAAATGACTGATCCCATTGCCAGTGACTCATTTACACAAGGACTTTTCCAGGTTAGCAGACAAGGCCCTTTTCAGTGGGCCTGCTTCTGTGGGTTCACAGAAACCAAATTACTGTGGGTTGCAAAGAATTAGCAGGTCATTTGAAAAGCAGACATCCCTTTACCCAGACTGTGGTTTTGCATGCTCAAGTTCTCAGTCTGTAAGCTTTGGTGAGGGATCATTTTGGCTACTGGAAAAACCGTAGCTTATTTTTAATTTCTGGCTGCCAAAGCCACCACACGTGTGGTCTGTGGATGACCCTAGTCTGCAGAATGACGGGGTGGGGGAGTGAGAAGGGAACGTGGTTTGGGGCTCAGGGTGGCCTTCCCACCAGGAGTGAGGGAAGGAGAGCTTGCCGAGTGGTTTTGACACAGCCTGTGCTCATAGCACTCTTGTCTGAGTTTCTCAGAAATGCCCTCCCTGCCCAGCAGTGACCTTCCCTCTTGACCTGGAGTCTGACCCTTTGGAGCACTGTAGCACCCTACTCCTCTGTAAAGACTGTACAGGTTCAGCTTCTGAAATGTAGCAATGCTCACCTTGCCAGAACCCTAATGAGTGCATTCCCGCATTGAAAACAACCCTGCTGATAGTTTTCAAAGTTTCTTTATGATGTTTGATTTTTACATTGAAAAATGAAATAAAAAATACTGGTGTGTTTAAAATTAGTCATGGTGCATGCCTGTCATTTGTCGTTGCTGTTGTCAGAAAATGGAATTCCTTCTGCCCCTAGGAATATTTTCTTAACTTAGCCCCTCTGGCTCTTTCTTAAAGTTCAGATACTTAGATAAGCAGAATTATCATTGAACTAAAACATCTTGCCTGATGTCTTGCTGAACCTGCCGCTGGTGTCCTGCTGCTGGCCCCGAGTGCCCATGGTGGGACTCTGGGTCCACTGGCCCTTAGTTCACTGAGGAGACCTGAGGAGGTCGCGGGCCTGGACATGGCAAGCACACTGGGCATGGTGTCTCCCGGTCCCAAGACACCACCCCACCCTCCCTTCCCAGCAGGGATCCTTCCTAAAGGATAGGCAACTCCTGATTTTTTCAGCTCTGGGGTCTCAGAAACATCCACGCTGGGAAACTCAACTTGCAGTTGAACTCAGCCACCACATTGAAATGTAGTCTGTAGATACTTGGAGGCCCAAGCTGGGTGCCGGTGGAGGTAACTCCGAGGAGAATGGTGCCAGGATCATGTGGCTCTCTTCCTGTCTTGATATCCTCTATTCTGTCTCAGAAAAGGTCAGAGAAGAGTCTGAGAGCTGGTCTGGCCTTCTGCTCAGTCTCACCCAGAGCACCTTGCCCTTCCTCTGGGGAAGAGGTGGGAGGAAGACACTGCTGAAGTTGAAGACTAGCTGACGGGCCGGGTTCGCAGCAGCTTTCAAGGTTCCATGTTCAGCACCATCTCCCTCCCTTCAGCACCACCAGCCGGTCCTGAGGCTCTCCAGCTGGTGTTCCAGTCTCAACACTAAGGCCAGGGAGGGAAGAATGGCTTTGCAGCCTGCCCCTGTTTGGGAGCATTGAATACATTAAAAAAAAATGGCCACTCAGTAGCCTTGGAGAGGATGGCCTTCCCCATCCTCACTCCCTTCCCAAAGCCAAAGCAGCTCAGAGAAAAGAGGGAGGCAGGGAGACTCCCCGTTGGCTGAGGAGCCAGCTCAGCAGCTGACTGGTGCTGGGGTTGGGGCTGAATGGACTTTCTTCCAGCCTGAGGATAGCTTCCTTCACTAACTCTCAGGAGCTGAGTAGATGCCGTAGAGGCGGCGGGGTGGGCCTGGCCTTGGAGGCCACCCCGCACCTGCACCCTCCCCCTCCCCCACCTCTCCACACAACCAGGCCATTCACCCTGGTGGCTGGCTGCTGCGGTGCAAACCTCCACCTGCAGGCAACTGCCACCCCAGGGCAGGCAGAGGGCCAAGGACCTAGCTTCCTGGTCTCCCTCCCACCCCCTGGAATCCAGAGTCTGAGGAAGCGCTGGGGGCGAAGGGTGAGAGTCCTGGGAAGGCCAGGCCGGCTGAGGGCTGGCAGAGGAGCTCCCGCGGCAGGACACACAAGGTCAGGCTGCAGCGCATTCCCAGTCAGACAGTTGTTTGCATAAAAGCCAAAAGCCGCTGCACCTGGGGTGGGGAGGCCCTCTGGGGAGGTACTCCCTGGCTTGGGGGAGAGGGGGAAGGAAGGTGTCATGGAAAGTCCCTGAAGGACACGGGGTGTTGAATTTGCTGCGGTTTTGTTTTTAACTCTGTCTTGACCTGTGAAGTAGGCAGCTGCCTCCCTTCCCCCCAAATAACAGACCTTCCCCCAGAATAACCGAACATACCCAAGGAAAGAGCCTGCAGTGGAAAGAATGGGGTTAGAGGGCCTGCGGGTGATGTCAAGCATCCCCCTTCCCCAGGACTGAGGGGGCAGGGAGCCCCAGAGCAGCCCTTTCCCATCACCTCACCTTTCCCCTCAACCCCCCCAGCGCACCCCCACCCCCGGGCCCAGAAGGGCTGCCTAGTCAAATAAACCACAGCCCTGGGGGCGGCTGGTGGATGGGAACTGGGGGGGGGGGGGCAGATGCCGCCTCCTCCCCCAGGCTCACCCTTCCAGGGGTTCCATCCCCATGCCACCCCCACTGGAATCACATCCTCAGCACCGCCACCTCCCTCTCCTCACAAACTGTGTGGGCGCCCGCGATGGGGTGAAGCAGGAGAAAGCAGGCCGAGTCATTGACTGAATCCAGCAGAGCCCTAAGTCTCCAAAAAACGAACGCAGGCCTCATGGACTCCCAGCTGAGTGTCTGGACTCCTGGGTTCCAACCTCAGCCCTGCCGCTCTCTGCGTCACCCTGGGCACTTCGGTTTCTCCCTCTGCGCCTAGATTTCACCCCCACCCTACCCCGCCCGGGAGTCAGGGGTTTCTGAAGTTCTTTCCAACAGACTCAGCCTGGCCTCAACCCCACGGCTTTAGCCAGGGCTTTCCCATTGTCCAGAAAGGAGAATAGGAGAGAAAGAGGGTTTTGTCGGCTCTTCTGTCTCCCCCAAACTCAGGCACTGGGAGGGAGGCTGGGCGCTGGAGACAGGAGGCTGGAGGCCTAAGATTTCCCCAAGTGGTCACAGGAACCCGTTCTATAAAATGCCAACCCTGGCCCACGAGCCGGGGGCGGTGCGGGGACAGGGCAGTGGCATGGTGGGAGGCTCGGAATGTGAGCAGTGAGGTTGGGTCTGAATCTCGGCCCTCCCCGCGCCGTCCTCTCTCAGGACCTCCTCTTAAATCTTCGTGAACCCAGACATCAGATTCCCTGGATGGGGTTTCCTGGGAGAGGGCAGCGTAAGGCCGGGGTGGGGGCAGGGGGAATGGGTGCGGAGCGAGGTGGGAGCCGAGGGGGGGTGTGAGGGGAGGGGCAACTGCACTTCTGAGAAACAGCTCGGCGTCTCAGCAGCCCGCAGCCTAACCCCCTGCCTGCGGCTTCACAGCTCGCTCCTCCTGCCGCCCACGCCGCTCGGGGCCTCTCCGGGGGTCGGCAGCCCCCGCGGAGGCGGCGGCTGCTGGGGAGGAGCCGTAGCTCCGGGGACAGCGGAGTGGAACCCGCGGGGCGGGGTGGAAAATGGAGGAAGGCGTGGGTCGCGTGACACCCCAGAAGTAAAAACCCATCCTTTACTCGGGGTCCTGAGCGCTGGACCTCGGCAAGCCGTGTGTCCCCCGCCTCCTCCCCCAGCCCAGGTACTCTCCCATCACATCCTGAGCAGGATCCAGAAGTGAAACTGCTCCGGGTCACAGCCCAGCGCCGCCGCTGCGCCCCGCCCCGCCCTTCCGGGCACTGCAGCCTTGCAGGATCTCCCAGCGCTCGGGCGACTGCTGGGGAGGAAACTGGGGGAGGGGAAAGGGAAGTGCCCCGCGGGGCAGTCTGCAAAGCGAGGCCTTCTCTCCTGGGGGTGCCCGCTTGTAACCACGAGTGGGAACCTCGAGAGCCGCGGACCTTAACTGCAGCCGAGGGACAGGCGCCTGCACTTCCCACCACCGCCACTGGGTGTCACTGCAGCCGCGCCGCTGAGCCTGCTTGGAGCCGTCGGGAGGACCAGGCGCGGGTCCCAAGGAGCCGGAAGACCCGAGCCTGTCGCGCCCGCGGGGTCCTGCCTGGCCTTCGCCCCCTAGAGGCCCAGTGGTGCTTGGATGCGGTGTTCAGACCTCCCTCCACCCCCCGATCTTTTAAAGGCCTTCACCCAGCCCACCGATTCTCCATGAAGAACAAACTAATAATCCCCTTTCTCCGCGACCGATAGCTTCATTGCTGGGGCGCCGCGCGAGCCTCCTGCTGCTGGCTGGGGATCGAAGGCGCATCTTCGATGGCTTCGGCGGGGCCCGGTGAGCTGAAAGTCAGCCCTCCCCAATCCAGCGCGCCCCCTGGCAAGGCGGGCCGGCCTTTCCGCCACAGAGGCGGAGGTGGCTCTCTGAAGACGCCCGCAGTTCCGCGAGGGTTCGGCCCGGCGGGCGCCAGAGATCTAGAGGAGGCAGAGGAGGGGGGAGAAGGAAGGGCGGGCGGTGGGTGCAGATCACGTGCTGCGGAGCCACAGCTACTGCCGGTTGGGTCCCCGGATGACTCCTACTCACCCAGCCGCCCCTTCCCACCCTCAGCTCATCCCTTGGATGTTTGGGACAGATCAGCTTGGGAGAAGGTAACCAAAAGGTGGGAACCTGTATGGGACTGATCTGATCGGTTTAAGAGGGCTGTGGGTGGGCCAAGGCTGGGAGAGAGGAGATACCCTGGAATCTTTTGGAAAACTGAGATAGGAATGCCCAGTTCTACTCTGCTGTGGATCTAACTCAGGGCACCAGTTGGGCACTAGATGCAGAGGAACACGTCCATTGGCTGCAGGTTTGTGGGGTGCAGGTGGCCCATTCTGTCCCTGCCTACAGCTTGCCCTCAAACTCCGAGGTCACAGGGCCCAGCTCCACTACGGGGACTCTAGAGGGATCCACAGGGTGGCCCTAAAGGAGTAGCATTGACCTCCAACTTTCCCTCAGTCTCCCCCAAACCACCTCAGGATAAACCCAATCCAAGTAAAAACAAACTGATTACCATGAAAACACAGTTTTCGATAAACGGCCCTCCAGGTGCCCAGCAAAGAAAAACTGGCCCCTTCAGTGGGACAGACCTGGGCTTCTAAGAGGACACTAGAGGCCATCACAGCTCAACCCATATGCAGTTGAATTTCAGGCCTCATTAGGGCCTGGTACAGCACAACACTTCTCAGCCCAAGTGGTACCCCTACTTCCCAACACCCCTTCCTGTATAAAGATCATGGGGGACCCCTGGGGGCCAGCCTTAGCCCCCAGGATCACCCACTCCCCTGAGGCCCTAGATTCCTGTCTGCAACACCCAACTTCCCCAAGATCCCCCTCCTCCTTCTCCTTCCTCCTCCCCCAACTCCCCACCCCAGCTGGAAGCTCTGTGGGAAGAGACTACTGCACACCTCATACCCCAGCCCCAAAGCTGAGGTTCTGCCACTGACCCCTCATCCCACCCCTCAGCCCACCCTGCTGCTGGGCAAGTTGGACCAACCCCTGACCTCTCTGGGTCCTCTTTTCTGCCTGCCAGACCAGATCAATGGTTCGGTCTTGAAAACTCTTTTTCTAAATACACCATGATGCCAAACTCCCATAGAGAAAGACAGTGCTCCCCCCAAAGCT